GCGCGGCTTTATGTCGGCAGCCCTGACCTCACAGCCAGCCTATGGGGCGAAGCGTCTAACTTGTTCGGCCGCACATCACCCGACGCACTTGGAAACATGGGAGATATGTTGGTCCTCGGTACGCTCTTTGTTCTCGATGATGAATGCTTTCTGACCGGTTTCGCAGTATCTGCTGCAGATGCAACGCGGGACGTCCTTTACGATCTTGCGGGCGGGTTTCGGATGGATGAGAACCACCCTTTGTTTTCCGAGTTTCAGAGAAGAGAAGATATGCGCCAGTATCTCCGAACCAACGTGTGGCTGCGGGAGCTTGATTACCAGCCGGCCGGCTGATACGTCTGACACTTTGTATCTGGCTCGTCTTTCTTCTAGCTGGTAATGGATGTTTGAGGGTTTCGACACTATAATTGTTGCAAGACTCGTCCAGCCTCGTGACTAATACATCGAATCACGCGGGAGAAAAATGGAAACGAGGAAAAAGACAACCCGTACATGTGGATATTCATAACGCGACTGCGAAATGGTTCCCGTCGCGACATTCGGTTTTCAGAGGTGATCTTATGTAGAGCCCCCAGTGTGACTAGCTGATCTGGATACCGCACAAGACTGGGATGGCATCCACCATCCGTGCCCGTCAGTAGCGCCGACTAAAAAGGGGCCACGTGGGTTAGCTCAATGTCTGGAGGCATCACAACTGGACTTGGGCCGGAAGGCATCGTGAGAATATGGGGTGAAAGGGGAATGATCGCACTTAGGTGCTGTGCCTGGGATGCTCTCGAGACCCAGCCACTGCAGCAGACCTAGTCAAGTCAAGCGACCGGGCCGGTTGCGGGGAAACAGCGCCCACGATCGAATTTGCCATCGGAACTGAGGTGGAGTCGGCAGACGGGGGCGTACATGGCCGCACCGGTGTAGGGGTTGCTTTATCTCCCTGTTCACTTTGTGCGAGACGCGGCCGGTCGCGGGTCGGAGGCGGATCGGGGTTGCGGCAATGATGGGAAGCTAGATCCGGGCTGCGGTGCAGAGAAATGGAACTATTACGGGCGGGGCATCGCCGGCGCGGTAGCATTTGCCTTCGAAGTTTGCGGGGACAATACGGTGGTTTAAGGGGATGGAAGCGTCTTTTGCAACGTCGTTCGACTCAGCACCAAATGGCTGCCCTCGAGAAGTGGATTGCCAGGGGCCGTGAACACGGGGAGGGATTCTTGGTGCACAGACAGTCATCGACAGAACAATTTGATCCCCAATCCTCAAGCAACACACCCCTCTACACACTCGCCATCGACCGCAAAATTGGCTTCAGCCACCCCATGAGAAGACGTTGCCGAAATACAACTTCGAGATGGCCGGCGATGCATCGCAAGAAGCGATGTAGGCGTAGCTCAGGGGGGCCAGGGGAGCTTTTTCG